AAAAATCTTTTAAAAAAAAAAAAAAGATAAATGAGGCTATAATTAGCATTTTAGTAATTTTCTTGGAAGCAAGAGACTCTGAAGTACTTGAAAATATCAAGCCACCCTCCCTGGAACACACAGCAAAACCAGCTGCCGGGTCCCTTTACAGCCCCTCTGATCCACCAAGGGCCTGCTTGCAGGGAAAAGAGGCCTCCACCAGAACAAGGCTTGGAATAGTCTTGAGGGCAGTTGAAGCTTCTCCCTGCCCACAAGCCCAAGGCACACTGGCAGGCCCGGCTCTGGACATCTCTCTGCAAGTCCAGTCTAGAAACTTCTTTCTTCCCTCAGAACTCCATAGCACAGTGCCTGCTGCAGCAGAGGGGCTAATCCCAGAACACATCTTGCTGTGTGGCCTTGGGCTAGTCACTATCCTTCACTGGGCCCTGTTTCCACTCTCTACAAAAGCAGAGGGATTCCCCAGGTCTAAGCGCACCCTTGCATCCTCCCCAGAGTACCCCAGCAAGGGTTCTGGCCCCACTTTCTTCACCAAGCCTTTTCCTGCAGTCCCCCAAGCACTGACCTCAGAGCCAGCGCTCAGCAGTCCCAAGCTTGGTAGAAAGGTCGTCTTAGCTGTCCACGGGAGGGCCAAGGAGCACCAGGTGCCAACCGTGTCCCCAGCCTGCCCTGGACTCTGCCGTACCCTGTGCCCCTCAGTCAGCCAGGCTGGGCAGAGTGGGCCGTCTTCACTCACTCTCCAGCTAGCCCTGGCTTTGTCTGGAAGAGTTTGGGCCCTGCCTTGGGGGAGGGGACAGCCAAGAGGGTAGGGATGGCAACTGGGCCAGGCAGAAGGAGAGGGGAGCCTTGCAGAAGAGCCCGGTCGCTCCCAAGCCCTGCCAGGGCCCCTCTCCGGCAGGTCTCCTTGGAGCCCTCACAGGGGCCAGGGGGGAGGCACGGGGAGGGTTTCACGGCCCCTGCAGCGGCTCTCACCTTCCCCCATCGGGGCTTTGAATGGTATGGTCGGCAGCCAGCGCCTTGCTATTCAGTGCCTGCCAGCCTCCGGGTTACCCGGGAGAGGGGAGAGGGGAGCAGCCCAGCGCAGAGGGGTAGGCCCTGGCCGCTCTCGGGCCCCTCCTCCCCTCCTGCGTCCCTGGGCCCCTCACCTTCCAAGCTTACCCCTCAGTTTCCCAGAAAAGCACCTGCCCTTTGAAGGTGTCTGGCTGCAGAAGTGAGGTGTGAGAGACATTTTCAAAGGTCCAAGAGATCTTAGGGCAGAAAGCACAGGATTGAGGGACAGCCGTGGCTTGCTCCTTACAGTTTGGGTGGGCCCTTGGAGCCCCTCCAGGTGGTAGCTCTCCAGCCCTCCCCACACCACACACACCACACACATCACACACACCCCACACACACAGACGCACGCCCCTCCCCCAGCCTTCTTTCTTCTTGGAAGCCAGAGCGTCCCCCGCAGCCTCCCCAGAAGCCAGCAGCCTGCAGAGGAGCCTAAGTCTTGAGCAGCCTCCCCGTCAGGGATCCCCCCACTGCCGCCCGCCAAGGTCCCAGAAATACAACACAGTGGTCACAGTGCCAGGGCCATTGTTCTAGAGACTGAGGAGATAGCAGTGGACAAAGGCCCGTCCTCTCGGTGGGAATATAGACACTGAGCAAGGATGCAGTATGTCAGCAGCTGATGGGGGTGGGGACAGCCTAGGTATTGGAGTGGGGAATGCAATGCCACATAGAGCGCTCAGGGAAGGCCGGACGAGAAGATGACATTTGAGCAGAGACCTGAAGCACATGAGAGAGCAAGCATGCAACTATCTGGAGAGAGAGCGGGCCAGTGGGGGAAACAGCACGCACTTGGCTTTCAAGATAGAGAAGGAGATGGGTGTGGCTGGGGCGGAGCTGGTGAGGAGGGTGGTGAAAGATGGGCTCATGTACTCCCAGTTCTCACCAGTAGGAAGATGGACTTGCTCTTTCTCTGGGCCCAAGGTCCAAAGTCCCGGCGAAGGATGAGATTGACCCAGTCCTGATCAGGTACCTTCTCCGGGACCAGTCACCACTGGCCATGGTCCATAGGAACCTGGCAGCCCCAGCACACAACACAGTGCAACAGCAGAGGGCAGATCCAGGAGAAGTGAGAGGTCCAGGGCATCACAAAGCAGTTCACCACCAATTGAGACAACATCCCGAGGCCCCGGGTCTTCCCAGCCACACGGTGTCAAGTCTCTTCCTGCATCACCTTCCAGGGGAGCAATCTCTCGACTCACTTCAGGGTAGAGTAGGTGTTCAGTTCTTGGTTTGGCAGGACTTGCCTTGGGGCTGGCCCTGACTGCCAGCAGCCTCGAGGCTGGACTCTGTGAAAAGGGATAAACACTGCATATGTCTCTGAGTGAGAACAGCACGCCCCCAAGTTCCACCAGAGGCCGTGCGTGAGCCTGAGGCACAGCCAAGCAAGCCGCCAGGCAGGGGGGTCTGAAACTAGACTGGAGCAAATGTGTAGGTGATAGAAGATGGAGCCGCCTCGTGGGAGGTGGGATTTCTGGGTTTCTGCAAAGTGGCTGTTACAGGACACAGTGCCCAGCTGGGACTCAGTGTGGCCGGAATGGCTTCAGACCAAGAAAGTGTGGGCAAGAAGCAGCCACACAATCCAGCCCCCTCAGATGCGGCTCCTGGGATCTCAAAAGGCTGAAGGAGGGAAGCAGGTTCCTATGGGCTGACCTCGTCAAGCCTAGAGCCAGAGAGCTACGGTGCCGGCATCCACCTTCTCCCCCAGCCTCCCCAAGACCCTAGTGGAGGATCAAGGAGCAGAGCTGGCAGGTCCCCTGCCGTACAGGGCAGCAGAGAGCCACCAACGGGTGTCCTCATGGGGGACGAGTCAGACAGACGTGTCCTTCTCTCTCATACCCCCAGCTTCTGTGGGAAACCACAGGTTGTCCAGGATGGGCTGGGAGTGGTGTAGAAGGCAGGAAAGGGGCTTCACACACAGTCTTCTCTCCCTGTGTGGTGGGGGGGGAGGGGCGGGATTCGAGGAGTGACCACGTATCTCATTCTCCCTCAGCTGAAAGCCACAGATGCAGATGAGGGCGAGTTTGGGCGTGTGTGGTACCGCATCCTTCATGGTGAGTGGGCTGCCCTAGGATGGAGAGGGCCAGCGCTCCTGCCCTTAGGATGGCAGAGCTTCTCCAGGCTGCCGGGAGTCTGGGAAGTGAGGCCAAGGGATATTACCCTGACCGAGGGGGCCTTGGGGTAGGGCAGCCCCCGCACAGCAAGCCCCCCGGAGATGGTCATTGGCCCAACATATAGCATGGGACCATCCCTGAACTAATTACTATTGGTCAGAGACTAAAATCTGCTGATCTGCCCAGTCTGGAAATCAGGGTAAGATCACGCCTACACAAAGCACCTGGACTGAGAGTGGAGGAGGGTGGATCCCCAAAGGAAAATCAGAGTGCTGTTCCCCCAAGGTGGCAGAACGGGTACTAGACTGGCCCAAAGATGTACAAAAAATCCTCAGTTCAACCACCCACGAAGAATTTGGTTTGGGTGCCTCTTTTTGTAGTGTCCCAGATCTTTCTGAAATATTGAGTCCACTGACACGTCTGGGTACGGGCGTGTCAAGGGACCCCCAGCCTTCCCATCAGGAGGGTACAAGGGGGGCTCCTACCCTCTCCCTCAAATCCTGCCAGGCCAGGGCAGCATGAGGCAGATAACTTCTTGCCATCGTGGGCTTCAGCCAGGGTCCCAAGACCTCTGGGCAGGATCAGCATTCTGGGTATCTGGGCCCCCCCCCCACTTCCCCCTCCTCCCCCTATGCCATGATCATCCCATGTCTTGCTCCAGGACGGAGCCCATGAATCTCCTCTGTCCCTCCACACAGGTAACCATGGCAACAACTTCCGGATCCATGTCAGCAACGGGCTCCTGATGCGAGGGCCCCGGCCCCTGGACCGAGAGCAGAACTCATCCCACGTGCTGATAGTGGAGGCTTACAACCATGACCTGGGTCCCATGCGGAGCTCCGTCAGGGTAAGATGCTGGGAGGCAGGGTGGGGTCAGCAGTGAAGCCCTGCCTCGCCTTCAGCAGCAGCCTCGGAGGTGGGCCGAGACCACAGCTGGCCCGGGAGATGGCCACCAGCGGGGGCCCGGTGGGGGCAGGCCACCACTGGTTTAGGTGCTGAATGACCTGGGGCTCTGGTTGCCAGGGGCGTGCCGAAGCCCAGCCTGGGATCTTAGAAGTGTCATTTTGCTCTGAGCCTCAGTTTCTCCAGATGTGGAAGGGGGTCAGTGATACTGATGTCTGTCCTAAGGGATGAAGGAGGTGTCCTTACGGTACTAACCCCCATACCCACACAACTCACAAGGAAATCTCACAAATCTGACCTTCGAGATAGAGATGTTGCCAACTTGATTTTACATGTGAGGGAACTGAGGTACAGAGGGGTCGCTAGTGATAGAACCAGGACTTGAGCCTGGTCTTCCAAGTCCAGGTCCAGTGCACTTTCCATTGAAAGTGACCCCCAAATATTCCGGTTACCACTCCCAGATGCCCCGTCCAATGTATTCTTTTCTGCCCACCCTCACTTACCTCGAGCCTCTGCCCCATGTGGCTGAAATCACATTAAACCTTCATCTTCCTGAATGGTCAACAGCAGACGCACAGATACTCCGACTGGCCGGGCTGGTTGAGGCACTGTTCTGCCCAATGGCAGGGGGATGGATGAGGTAAATGAGATGGCCTCGCAAGGTCACCCCGCCCTCCCCCCACTGCACACTCAGCAGCTCACAGCCCCTTCCCCGCAACCAGGTGGAAAGTGAGTCAGACCCCAAAGGTGAAGAGTAGGTGGGAGATAGGAAAAGCCGGGGTGGGGAGAAAGCAGGGACTTTTACCCAGGACTGCGTGGAGCAAAATGAGCTTCTTATCAGCCCCATCTCCACCCCACTCTTTCCCCAGGCTGGAAACAATGAACAGCAACCTGCCTGGGGTCACCATCACGCAGGAGGTGCTGGGGGGTAGGTGACTCAGCCTTGGCCCATCTCTTGCTCGTGTCCCCTCAGCTTTGCCCCAGGAGGAGATGGAAAGAGCAGTCAGCCTGGGTCCTTACAGCTGCCCCTCTGAGTGAGATCTTCCCCGGGTGGGGATGGCTGAGGGGGTCACATCACTGGGATGTTTACACCTTGGGGCTGCTTGGGATGATTCCGGGGCGCTGGTGACGGCGGGTCACACTCAGTTACCTGAATGTGAACCGGGGCATCCCCACATAGCCCTGCTCCCCTGCAGGTCCGTGAATTGCTTACATGCTGGTGAGTGCACCCACATCAGAGCGTGCTCTTTGAGGGGCCCACTTCAGGCCACAGAGGGACTGATGTCAGCGTAACTTGGGTTGGCTACCTGGACTTGAAGCTTCCTAATCAGAGCCCTCCCTGTGGCCTCCTCACTCCCCACTCTCCCAGAAGCAGGTGGGCACCTCTCTCCAGGGCCAGCTCCTGTCGGCCTTGACATTGTGACTGTAAACCTTTTTTAGCTACAAACCTTTTTTTTTTTTTTTTAAGATTTTATTTTTAAGTAATCTCTCCACCCAACGTGGGGCTCGAACTCACAACCCCAAGATTAAGAGCCGCATGCTCCACCCACTGAGCCAGCCAGGTGCCCCTAACCACAGAGCTTTTGAAACAAAATGGTATACAGTGGGCCAGGATACAGCGTAAAACAGATGGAAGCCAGGCTGGGCCGGTTGGTGGGGGATGGGAAACACACCTGCTTGCCCACCCTCCTTTGCTCCTCTCCGCGTGAACCCCGAGGAATAGTAAATCCTCACATGGTGCTTACTCTACGCCAGGCATTTCTCAGTGCTTTATGACCTTGAACTCACTTAACCCTCATAACTACGAGGTAGGCACTGTTATCATACCCGTTGTATGGAGGAGGAGACTGAGGCAGAGAGGGATTGGCCAGTGTGTACAGGGCCCCATAGCAATAAGGGTAGAGCTGGGCTTCACACCCAAGCAGTCCACACAGGTCTGCCCTCTCAGTCCTTACACTCTGCTGCGTCACATACAAGCCCTTCAGAGCCGAGTCCACTGCCTAAAACCCCGAGTCATTTTAAGGTGGGAATTTAGGAGCTGGCACCCAGGGTAGAGGCATGATAGCCTTTGTCAGACACAGCGGCCACACCTCTGAGCCCCAAGAAACCTGGGGACTTCCCTGAAGACAGTGTGGGCACTCTGGCTTTGCCCCGGATTCATTTGCCCAGCAGGAGCCGAGATGGCTTCTGGGGACCATCCACATTCCCCAGGTCCCGCTCTAGAGACCAGGGACAGCGCAGACAAGGGCCCAGGAGCACGGAGTGAAAGGCCCTCCTAGAGTCTGGGGGCCTCACGTGTACCCTGCAAGCGTGCACGTGCATGCACACACGGCTCCTGCCCTGTCCCCTCTGGAGAGCACAGCACGACACAGACAGTGGGGCTGGCTCTCCAGGGGGCCCAGGAGCTGAGCCCTCCCGCTTATAAGAACTTGGCAGACCTGTGCGTTTCCTGTACATCTGTGTCTCTCAGGTTTGCAAACCACACACCATTATGCCTCCTGTCTCTGCTGCTAAAACAAGGCTGAAACTGACAAGAGGATGGTGGCGTGGGGCCAGCCTCATGGAGCACGGGCCACACCCAGGCTCCATGCCACCCCCCTCCTCCTTATCATCCTGGCAGACTGGCCCTGTTTGTGCCCCCACGGCCCCCAGAGTAAAGGCCAGTTGGACAAGCAGACTCAGGAAGGGGAAGGCTCACGGTTTTGAAAGATGGATGGTTTCTGTTTACAGCAAGAGAGTTCCCGATATTCGTCCATGCAAATTCCCCCCACACCCACCCCACCCAGGATCTTCCCAGCCAAGTTCTTGGTGAAGCCAAACTTAGAAGATTCTGGCTTGTGAACAGCTGTGCTCTGGGGTGGGCACTTTAGTTTGCATAGTGGGTTCTGGGTGTCTGGACATGAAAATGTGATGATGCAACAGGGCTGCAAGGAACCCCAAAAGCCGGGAAGATAGAGAAACCTTTACCCGCATATGCCTCTCCTCGCCCCCCCCGCCCCGGCTAATGTTCCCCACGAGTCAGGCCAACATTTCTGCTACCGAAGCCCCCCCCACTTCTCCAGCAAATTCCCAGCTAAGCCCAGGAGAGAAGCCAGGGCTGATCCCGACGGCCGTGATCAATCAGAAACCCAATATTAGTGCTGTCAGATCGTCTGTGCTGCGGCCCCGCCATGAGTGCTGGTGAGCAGTGTGAAATCTGTGTTGCACACTCTTGCCAATGCTCCATTTGCTGCTTCCATTCTGCCGGCAAGTTCCTGCTGACCCTGGTTCTGTCAGGCTGGAAGGAGGTGGTCTCCTGTTCTAAGGCCAGCTCATCCCCAACATAGAGCAAAGAGGAGTAGGGGTTGGTGGGCTGAGAACCAGGAGGGCCCCCCCTCTTTCCCACCCCTTCAGTCACCATGAGGCCTTGGGTACGTCCCTCCTCCTCCCTGAGCCTCCATCCCCCCATCTGGGAAAAGAGGCAGAGGGACCCTGGGCCTCCCTGTGGCTCCTTAAGCACCAACACTCTGTGATACCCTCCTTTCCCCTACCACCCTGGTCCTTCTGGACACAGAGCTGGTCCTGCCCGTCCCTGGGCCAGACCCTCCCTGTGCTCCTGTGTGATGTGAGGGGCAGGGGCAGGGGGTGTGGCAAAAAAAAAAAAAAATGCTGTGACCCTGACCTCTCTCCATAAAGATCTTTTAAACTGTTTTTCTTCTGTTATGCAAGATCTATATGTTCTTTAAAGAGCAATTAGAAAGTACAGATAAACAGTAATGGAAATGATGCATAATTCCACTATTCAGATAGAGCCACTATCTTGGCCAGGCTTCTCAGAAGCAAATCCTGGGACAAGAGTTGATAGGAACATGGTAAGTAGGAAGTGTCCCCAGGAAAAGCCGGAAGGGGCGTGGGACCAGGGAAGGAAAGGCAGCTGGGGAACTTTGACTCAGCCCCTCGGAGAGCTCTGGAGAGAATCATTCCAACTACCCGATCAGGGCTGAGGAAGCCAAGTTTTACAGTCCACACCCATCAGTCCCTGGTAGGGGCTGCCCCAGGGGACATAATCCCCAGGCCCTTCCGGCTCTCTGGGTGTGTGTGTTCCAGCAGCCTGGGTGGGGTGGGGTGAGTCCCCCGCCAAGAGCCACTGTGGCTGGCTGGCAGAGAGAGCCCCCAGAGAAAGTGCCTTGGTAATCAACAGGGGTCTGAACACCAAAGTCCTCTGCTACAATCATCATGAACATTTTTGTGCCTATTCTCCCAGATAGATTTTGATATTCCAGTGGGGTCACTTCAACCTTTTGAAGCACTTTTGCAAAGCCTGGCTCGTTTTGTCTTCCTACCAACTGTAGACATGGCACAGAGCATGAGTTACCAGGCTGATGTATTGCTGTTTCATAGCTGAGCAACTTGATGGTCCCGAAGAGTCACTAATTAGTCACAGGTTCCCCCAGGGTTAGTAGCAGTGCCAAGAGTAAGATCAAATGACGTTCGAGCACCTGCCCTGTGCCTGGTACCGTGCCAGGTGGGGGGCCATGGTGACCAACCGTCAGGAGCTCCCCACTAGCCCAGGAGAGCAATGACCACACATGCAGGCCCAGGTGGGCTGGCCCCGGCCTCCTCGGTCTCCACCCCACCTTGACCTTCCACCCCCGGTCTGGCTCCTACAGGTGATCGTGTACGTGGAGGACGTCAACGATGAGGCCCCCATGTTCACACAGCAGCAATACAGCCGCCAGGGGCTTCGAGAGACCGCGGGCGTCGGCACATCGGTCATCGTAGTCCGAGCCACGGATCGAGACACCGGTGAGGCCGGCTTTCCCCGGAGTCACCCTCCGCAGCTCGTCCCTCCTGCTCCCATGGGGCCCGTCATCCTCGGGACGCCGCAGGCTCCCCAATTCAGCAGCTCTCAGGCTGGGGAGGGCCTCTGGGGACAGTCCTGGTGGCATTTGCACCAGATGCCCAGGCCTGCAAGGACTGGAGTGGGGGACTTGTCCCAATCTCTGGATGGAGACAGGGAAGGTCCCGAGCTTGGAAAGTCTAGGTTTCTCACTGGCGGAGTCGGCAGCTCCTGGCTAGCCTTTGGCTGGGGGCCGGGCAGGGCTGCGGGAGGTAAAGGACTTGTCACACAGCTGGCCGAGGCCTGCCCCTCCAGCCAGCGACGGCTCCATGTCCTGCGGGCCTGGCTCAGGGCCTGACACACGCAGGCTTCACAAGGGGCAGTGTTCTGGAGTGCTCTGAAGGCAGCCCGCCTTCACCGAGGACCCTGAGCCCCAGAGACAGCCGCAGCTGGCGGTGCAAAACGGGAGAATGTGGCCAGGTCACAGCGGCCCTCTTCATGGGCCCCGGCTATTTGGGCCTCTGCCCCAGGCCAGGGATGCAGCCAGAGAGGACCTCTTTCCTGGACGGTCCACTGCCCCCCCGGAGAGGCTCCCTGAGCTGCTCCCAGTGTCCCAGCTCCAGCCCCTCCCTCATGTCAGCCCCTGTCAGCATCCCCAGCCCCGCTGGGGCACAGGATGGGGTGACGGGGTGGGCGGAGATCGGTCTGAAAACTGTCAGATTTGCCATCCCTTATATGGCCCATTTATACAGTTCAGGCCACATATGTGCCTGTTGTCTAATGGTTCATGGCCTTTTCTGGGTCAGGAATCCCTTTGAGAAATTAGTGAGAGCTAAGTGTCCCTCCCTAGAAGAATGCACATCCATTATGAGTTTAGCAAATGATTTTAAGGAAGTCTGGGCTTTCCCGAGTGGCTTTATGGCCATTCCCCTGGAAGTCTGTGCACTTCAGCTAAAGAATCCCAACTTGAGCTCCTGGTTGAAGAATGTACCGAGGCCGAGGGATTTGAGATGGAGGAGTGGGGAGGACAGGGGAAGCTAGCACCCTTTGGTTGGAGGGACCAAATGGAGTCTTGGCCACTTCTGAGGATGCTGCCCCTAACACTTTCTGGATGAAAGCTCCCCCTCACAAGATATCCCTAATTTCCCCATTGCTACTTGTCCAAATACCCAAGGCGGGGAGGGGTTGCTACTTGAGCTTGAATTTAGAGGCTCCAGAGGCAGAACCAAATCCCTCCAGTACATACCTTATGCCAAAGCCAAGCTCCAGAGAGGTTGTGTGTGTTGGGCCTTGCTGTCCACATAGACCCTGGCCCCATCCTCTGCCGCTTCTCTCGGGGAGTGGGGGTCAGTACACACTGGGCAGGTCAGCCAGGGCCGCTCACCTGGTCCCTCGGGGCCAGTAGCAGGTGTGCCGTCGGCAGCCTGGGAAGCCACAGGGCAGCCCCACCCCCATCTGGGACTGCACACTCTTGTGTCCTCCTGCAGGGGACGGCGGCCTGGTGAATTACCGCATCCTATCTGGCGCCGAGGGGAAGTTCGAGATTGACGAGAGCACGGGGCTCATCATCACCGTGGATTACCTGGACTATGAGACCAAAACCAGCTACCTGATGAACGTGTCTGCCACCGACCAGGCCCCCCCCTTCAACCAGGGCTTCTGCAGCGTCTACATCACGCTGCTCAATGAGCTGGACGAGGCTGTGCAGTTCTCCAACGCCTCCTATGAGGCGGCCATCTTGGAGAACCTGGCACTGGGCACTGAGATCGTGCGGGTCCAGGCCTACTCCATTGACAACCTCAATCAGATCACCTACCGCTTCGACACTTATACCAGCGCCCAGGCCAAAGCCCTCTTCAAGATAGATGCCGTCACGGTGAGGGAGGCTGGGAGCAGGCACAGCAAGGGCTCTCCCTAGGGGCAGGAAGCACAGTCCTTTTAAAGCTAAGCAACATTTCTTGAGCTCCTTCTATAAGCACAGTACTATCCTCTTTGTCATAGAGTGTCTTTGAGATAAATACCCCTGTAATGCATCCCTTTCAATATTCAGGGGTAAGATAAAGCTTATACCTAGGCAACCTGGTAACCTTCTTGTTATTAGACAATGAGAGCTATGCAAGTCATCACATTTCTCTTTTTACCTTGGCTGTTAGGAAGCTCAGATGTAAATTGCTTCATCACAATAGCCAGTCTTAGCTAAGTAGCAGCTAGTCTCTTATCTACTATTTGGATCTTACTCTTCCATCTCTTTTATCAGACTCCCTTCTTTGAAAATAGGCAAGGTATGAATCACTGCAGGGTACAGGTCTTGTCCTAGGGAATATCGGGTTCACAAAGATGAACGAGACTCTTCCCAGCCCCCAAAGAGTTCGTAGACTGGGAGGAGAAATGAGAATTATCAGGGATGTACATCCGAGCACCACAGGGGAAGATGTGAAAAGAGCTACAATACAGGTGTAGTGGAGCTCCCAGGGGCCCAAATGAGAGTGATCTTACCTGGCTGGGGGATCATCTGAGTGAGGTTTGAGAAAGAAGTAGGATTTAGGCCGACAGAGCTCCGCGGAGATGTTCTGCTGGGCAGAGGGAGCGATGTGGAAGGTAGGAAAGTGGGCAGAATGTTGGGGATTAGCGAGGACTCTGCTTTGGCTGGAGCACGGGACAGCTTGGCGGCGGGGGCGGACTCTGCCTGGTGGGTATGATGTCGTCAGCCTTTCATCTGTTCCCTTCCCCGCAGGGTGTGATCACGGTCAAGGGCCTGGTGGACCGGGAAAAAGGCGACTTCTACACCTTGACAGTGGTGGCAGACGATGGTGGCCCCAAGGTGGACTCCACCGTGGTGAGTGAGACCCCGGGTGAGAGCCCCACAGGCATAGCCCATCACCACCCCAAGGCACCCCAAAACCTACATCTTCACCAGCCACCCCCACACAGGCCAGGCAGTGGGTGAGGGTTTCGGCCACCCAGGGACAGCGCTGCGGCCGTCATGCCACACCTTCCTGGGCAGCCTGGGCTAGGGATGACACCACAGACCGGGGCCGGGGCAGGCAGCACACCCCTGCTGTGAGGGGGCTGGGGGAGCTACAGACTGCTAACCATTCTACTCTGGCCTTTTCTCTCCCTTGGCCTCCTGCTGGCTCTGCCTACAGAAGGTGAGTGGCCTGTGGACTGGGGCTGTCCCCTGTACTGTTGGCTGTGGCCAGTGCCAGCTCCATCCCTATGTGGCAGTGCACCTTCCTGCATCCTCTGGAGACAGGCCCATGGACAGGCCCGCAGCAGGTTCCTGCCCAGACCCTTCACAACCACTCCAGTCCCAGCCCATCTTGGACGCATTCCCCAGATCCAGCTCTGCCCTTTGTGCCAGCCCGTGGGGGCTGGGATGGGGGGTAGGGGGCACTAGAAAGGAGAAGGTGGGACACTCGATAGAAGGAACACGGAGGCTTCGTCCCAGCTCTGCTGTGTGACACAAGCAAGTTGCTCAACTTCTCTGTGCTTCTCTTCCTCGGGTCTAAAGTGAGGATCTTGCCAACAGCCCTGAAGCTGGCAGGAGATGGCGAATAAGCAGCCCTTTGTAAACTAGGCCCCAAGGAGCATATGATGGGAGTGGCGTCTGTAAAGGGGAAACTAGCCCTCTCTTGGGGGTTGGGGGAAGGAGCATATAATGTTATGGAACATGGGAGGTGGGGCCCACGGTGCCAGGGCCTGGGGCGTGCTGGGGAAGGGCTGCCATGGGCACAGTGTGAGTCACTGTCCTCAAGGACTTTAGGGCAGGAACACCACATGCTCGGAGCATTTTGAGGAGGGTGACTGCTGAGGCCAGAGGTGTCGGGCAAGGTTCTTAAGAGGGTGGGGGAAGTGGGTGAGGCAGGCAGGGACCTCAGGCTGAGGGTTGAAAATGGGGGTAGTCCCCAGAGGGAGGGTCTACCAGGTGGGCAACCTGCAGGGATAACAAGAACATTAACAATGTATTGGGCTTGGGCCCCAGCCAATCCGGTCTGAGGCCATCTGTCGACCACATGGGGCATCCAGCTCATCCACAGCCTTGGTTATAGCCACATTCTCACTCCCCACTGGGTCCCTATCACATTACCCTGGAAGGACGGAAACCAACCCACCGTCCAGGCTAAGAGCCCAATGCAGCTGCTTGGGGTTCTCTGCCCCACAGCTCCCTGGAGGTGCTCAGTTCCAATGGCCCTTGTTGTGACTTAGTTGTATCCCAAAGCCCCCTCCATCCATAGGGCCAGCCTGGGGGTCGTGAGGCCAAGAGTAGCCATGAGCTGCATAGCTCCCCCGAGCCCCGTCAGTGTTCCCAGAGGGCAGCCGGTGAGCAGAACCCTCAGTGGTGGATACCAGGCAGGTACCATGTCCCGCCACTCCCGTCTCAGGCTCCTGGCCACCCCAGCCATAGGAGCTGAGGCTCAGGTTAAATGGGGCCCTCTCATTGGGCCTCGGCAGCCTCATCTATAAAATGGGCACAGTTGCAGCTAGCCCCTCATTTATGGGGAGTCTGGGAACTGAGGCCAGGTGGAGCCTGATAAGCAGCCAGGGTGGCCAGGATGCTCCCCACCAAGGCCGCCGGAGCCCTTCTGTAGATCAGGCAGCCCCCTTCCTCCACACAGGCCGGGGGGGGGCACCCTAAGCACACACTCCTGCGTAAGCCCTGATCTCCATAACCGCTATGCCCTCTTCCAGGAAGCAGGACCTATGGCTTTTTGCTCTGCCCTGGCTTCCTCCCAGGCCCCAGGGCCCACTGCCCCAGATACAGCAGCCCTGTTGGCCCCAGGCACTGTTGGAAGTGGTAGGGTGGAGGCAGCCTGAGGGGCCTTTTAAAGGTGGCATCATTTCCTCTGCAAGGCCGGAACCCCCAAACCGCAGCTTACCTACACCTGACTCTTCCCTGACCCCAGCAGCCCCCGTGGGCCCTGGGAGGGGTGGGGAGGCAGCAGGAAGGGGCAGACGGGGGGCGGGCTCTGGCAGAACACCTTCAGGCCTCTGGGGCCAGGGGAAGGAGATTTGGACCATGAGGCCCTGGGTGGGAACACAGACCCAGATCTGATTCTGTAGACCTTGGCACCTGCCCTCCATTCTCCCCCACTGAGGCTGACTCTCTGCTCCTGGGAGCACCTCACAAACAGCATCACAGTGGTAATCCTAGAGGAAGCACCTACCGTGTGCCATGCTCTGGACTGGGCTCAGGGTACAACAGAGGTAGCCCAAATGATTCCCCAAAATCAGATGTAGCCCCTGCCTTCACAAACATAAGATACAGCAGGGGAGGGATGTTGATTAAATTATCACACCAGTCAATGTATGCTATAGCAGACAGTCTATAATAAGATGTCAAGGAAATCAAGGAGGGCTTCCCTGAGGAAGTGACTCAGGCTGAGATCCACAGAAAGCGTAGACATTTACCCAGCTAAGAAGGAAGAGCGTAAAGGCAGAGGGAATAGCGTATGCAAAGGCTCTATGGTGGGAGGAAGCACAGGAAGCCTGAACAAAGCCTTGAGGGGAGCAAGAGAGTTTAGAGGAATCAGAGCACAGAGGCCATGTTTGGTTCTGCCCTGAAAATAGCATGGTGGGCATTATTGTGCTCATTTCACAGATGAGCAGACTGGGGCTCTGGGACTTTACAGAACTCCCTGACCAAAATCATGAGGGATAGGCAAAGCCTTGGCGCGTGAGATCATGCCAGTCTGCCAGGCAGGAAGCAGGACGAGGACCACGTTGTACCACCCCTGAACTTTTTGTTTGCTCATTCATTCCCCAAAGCATCTTGGTGCTATAGGTGTTTTTGTACTTTCAGCTAAGGAAGTGGAAAATCAGAGAGGTTGAATCATTTTTTCCAAAATCACACAGCTGGTAAATGGTGGAGTTGGTCCTGCCTCCAAGCCTGGGCTTCTTGCCCTGCGGTTCTGACAGCTCCCTAAAGATATGGAGGCGGGGCTAGGATGGAGAAGAAGGAAGACCTGATTGGAGGGGGAGGGAGAAGGGGGTCTCCTCTGTAGCAGCGAGATTCCCCAGGCTCTCCATGGGGGACTGTGTATGCTGCAGGCAGGCCTGGGAGCCCCTGTACCCCAGGCCCAGGGAAGGAGAAGATGAGGTCTGGCTTGGGGCAGGGTGGTGGGAGCAAGCCCCGCCTGGGAGTCCCAAAACCTGAGCCTCTCCCACCCGTCCTGAACCTTCCCATCAGTGAGCCTAAGCGGCGCTCATGGCCATCTGTGTGCTGGAGGCTACAGACGCGAAACAATATGCTCTTTGCATGCAATTTGCACATTCCCGGTTTATATCTGACAGTTGGAAATTCCTCTCCTCTCCCCACTGGGAACACCAGGCTACCTCCTGGCCCCTTCTTGTTCCAAAGCCCCGTTTCCTTCCCTCTAATCCAGATGTGCCAATGAAGAGGCCTTCGGGCTGGATCTGGCTGCTAGATGTGTTTTGACCAGCCGGCACCTAAGTTTTTCCTTTAATTTTTATTAACACGTAATTCCTCATAAAAATCTGGATGCCAGGTTCCCCTTGAAAAACAGGAAGTTCTGCCAATGTCAAGCTGGCGTTCTTCATGAATTTTTCGCTGAGTAGCCTCTGTCCCCTTTAGCCAAGGCCCGTGCCTTCCAGCTCTCAGCCCCACCACCTAGGAGTCCCCCCTGGTCCCCTACCCTGCTGTCCTGGCCCCAGCATTTGAATGCATCCAGCCCTCCCCCATCACACTTTGAGGAAAAAATGTGCTCAACACCTCTGTGTAAAGTCCGAATCGGCCCAGGCAGGCTCTGAATGCTAGCTGACTTTCTGGAACTATCAGCTCTAGGCCCCGATGGGCCCATGGTGGGAGCCTGGTGTTTGCAGCCAGGAAGCGGAAGGAGGCGGTAGGTCTCTGGCTGCCTCCCCCCCTCCCAGGTCTATATCACGGTGCTGGACGAGAACGACAATAGTCCCCGCTTTGACTTCACCTCCGACTCGGCCGTCAGCGTGCCTGAGGACTGCCCTGTGGGCCAGCAGGTGGCCACCGTCAAGGCCCGGGACCCCGACACCGGCAGCAATGGGCAGGTGGGCACCAAGTGAAATAGTTGGATCTTCCCTGTCGGTAGGAGGCTCACATAGCCTCTCCGCTAGAGAAGGGACAGTCAGGCTCCTCCCAGCCCCAGGCAGCACGGCCCTGCCCTCACCCTAGTCCGCGGTCAAGGAGAAGAGGCAGAGCTGTGCAGGCTGTTGGCCCTGCCTGGGTCAAGTGAACATGGAGCCCAAAGGCCTGTCACAGCTCAGCCCCCCACAGCAAGCTGAAAGCAGAGGGGGTTCATCCTTCCCGCTGACTCCTTCGTCACCTGATCCACCAACCACTCGGCATCTCGGCCCTGTGTGCCAGCCTTTCCCACATGGCCCCAGGTCTCAGAGAGGACATGCTCCTCCTCCTCCCTCCTGCTCTGGGGGGCCTGTCCCACGGCAGGAAGTGCTCCCTCCACACACACTCCAGGTCTGGAAGCCCCAGCGCACAAGGAGGACGGGTGATAGAGCATATTATTCTTCCTGCTGCTTTAATCTGTCCTATGAATCAGCTGGTATGTTTGAGGAGGTTTCCACCATTTAAAAATGGCTTGCTC